AATCGGTTTTGTCTGTGCCTGGGTGTGGGGACACCGGGGCACAGAGCAGCTCTTTGGGTGATGCTTCCTTTGCTGCTCATCGGGCAGAAAACAGTGAACCCAATCCCTCACACCTCGGGCAGTCAGGCCTTGGGGGGGTCAATGCCACGGTGGTTTCCCCTTTAGGGCCTTTTGAGGTCAGGAAAGGCAGGTATCGCCTTGCTGGGGCTGTGCCCGATTCCCATCAGCTCCAACAATCCTCTGGGTTTCTCCCAGGTGAGACTTGTAAGGTGGCTGAGTTTAACACAAAGGAAAAGGAGGAGGATGTCACCCATGAGCGGCGCGGGTGGATTTTAACAGAGCCTTTCCCTGCGGGGCCAGCGGTGGAGAGAAACAGCTCGCAGCCCTTGCCAGTGTTCTTCCTTCTCTGGGGAATGAGCTTTTGTTTGCCGAGTGGTAGGGCTGGGATTATCAGCTGGCTGTGAGCATCTCTCAGGTCTCTCGGGGAATATGGAGTGCTGCAGTCACCCTCGGCTTGGCCCAGAGATCCACGTCTGCCCCTGAGCTTTCTCAGGTGATGCTCCGGGCCATCCCGCTGTCAGGGGAAATGCCTGGGCCGTGTCAGAGGTACCTCTGGAGTACAACTGCTGTGGTCCAGGGGATGCGAAGACGGAGGTGATGTTACCCAGGTTCCTTTCTGCCACCTGCAGCAGTCTGGCAGCTCCCGATGCTGCTGCTCTGGCTCTTCCCCTCTCTAGCAAGTATTTTATTGCATGCGGCAAAATTCCCCACGCAGGCGGTACGAAGGGGAACTGCTGAAAGAAACCGCCCAGCCAACAGGACTGTTAATTGTAGTGTTATCGGTTTTGCGCTATTAAACTTCCGGTTAAAGCTGCAAATCTGGTATGGTTTAGGTCTCTGACCCTTCCAGCTGTGGGAAATGAGTGGGCAAAGCCCGGGGCGAGCATGGGTCATGGAGGGAATGGGATGTTCCTGGCAGCGGGAGATGGGGCCAGATGGGACTCAGGCCCAGCAGCAGCTTTATCCTGACCCAGCATCAGCTTCTCAGGGCCAGCTCTGCATCAGTCCCAGCCTGTATGTATGCAGTGACCCTGTAAATGAGGTGATCGTTAAAGGAAAGAGGAATCTAGTTTACAGTGGAGTATAGGTGATAACAACGTAATGAAAAAAAACTTCCTCATGAATTCTTCCGGGCAACACATTTCAGGAGGGGTGGTTGTGAATTGAGTGTTTTAAGTAATGAAAACAATACTAAAGAAAGTGTTGAAGGCACTAATTCTGCATAGCTAGAAGGGATAGAATAAATAATCTAGCATAATTTGTTTATACTTAATACATATTTATACGTATACTTAATATACTGCTCTAACTTCTGCAACCCCCCAATTGAGCTCTGGGATGCCTACTGTAAGGTCTGAGCCTTTGCTTAATTCTTCCAGAGGAAGATGGAGAGGGATTGTCTGCTGAAGCCCAAAGCAGCTCCAAGGAAGACAGCTGTCCTCAGCCCAGTGCCTAGATTCGATTTCCACCATGGTCTGCTAGCATTTCTTCCGCAGCTCTTACAAGTAAAATCTCATCTGCAAGAACTGGCCAGTTTAGTATGACGGGTACCGCTACCTGACTCTTTAATACCAGGGGGTGTGAAAAAAAATCTATGGTGTTTCATACCAGGACACTTAACAACTGGCACTGCTGAGGACCAGTTCTGTTCTGGGTCATTTGGGGAAAAAAAGCATGGCAGACCATGGCCATGTTAGCTGGAAAGTTCCAAGTGCCATGCATCAGGTGATGCTTGTCTTCGCGTCACTTCCCAAGTCTGCTGAGATGCTGACAGTATGCTCGTAGCGAAGAGGTCAAAGTCAGTGTCTTTCCTTCTGCTGCCTGCGACGTTGTTCTCCCAGGTGTAAGGTCTTCCACCAGCACACTTGAATTTCAAAACGTAGCACTGTGGCTGGTGTGGCGCCTAAAAGGAAGGAAAGCCTTACACTGTGGAGGACTGAAGTTTGGCAAAGATGCTACAGGTGTAGGTGGACACCAGCAAAAACTGCTCATGTGAGAAGGGCATTAGCTGCGTTTACCCTTCCATTACCTTGGGGACAACAGAGACATTTGTCCCTCTTTCTTTCCTTCTGCAATATCATAACCCAAGTGACAGTTTTACTGAAGAAAATCTAACGGCTAAAGGAAGAGAAGGTTTTCCACTCTTTTTTAGGAAAGAAGTGCTATGTCCTTGACATGAGGTTTTTTCAGTGTCCCCCCTTAGTCTGGGACAGTCACCCTCCCATGGTGGTGACTGCTGTAGACAGAGGTGGAGGAGGTAAAGTATCTCGTGTTTGTAAAGAGAAAACTGTCATCCTCTGCCCTCAAACCCCGTGGGTGTGAACTGTCCTGCAAGCCCCTGAGTGTTTTCAGTGTTTTCTTTTGAATGGTAGCGTACCAAAGGGATTAGCAGAAGAGTCAGATAGAGATCAACCAAGTCTTGCAGTGCATTGCTAACAGCAGCACTGTTAATGGCCACCAAAACTCAAGCACTTACAAGACTGTAAATTCCCCTGTCTCCTAGGTAGCCAACCACCAGCAGTGTGCTTCTGGCCCCAAAACACTGAGTGCCTCATCCAGGAGGGTCCTGATGCAGAGGACAACTCACCTATTATGTCCTTAGCCGGTCAAGATGTCACCATGGTTCCCACATCTCTCCAGTCACCCTCTAATGTCAACCCATCCAAGGACTTCATTCGCTGTCTGCCACCTCACCTGTCCATGTACCTCCTGGGTAAAGCTTCTCTGATTTCCCAAGGCAGTTTCTCCAAAGGGTAATGAACGGTCTCTAGTGTGGAGAGGGGTTAGCTAATCTGTGCCTTTAATTCCTCAGGGCTTTTGGATCAAAAATCCCTCAATGCATGTGCTGCTGTGAGTAGATGCTGGGCTTTTCTGGCCAAAGAAGTCAAGAGGGAACGTGTGGGCCAAAGCACAGTACAGGAGAAGATCCTGTACCTGCAGGTATGATGCCTGGGCTTCTGCCATCATTATGCACTTTAAAAAGAGGGTGTTCTTCTGCTACTGCCCAAGCCGTTAGATGGAGATGCTTTTACTAGAGGCTACCTCCCAACTTTGCCCTGTTCCTTCTTCCTCCATCTGCAGAGCTAAGCCAGCTTCATCATTCATACTGTCACAAGCAAGCACAGCAGAATAGCTTTTACTGACCTTCAGAGAGCCTGTGACTCTAAAAATGGATCAAAACATTCTTGTAATCAATAAAGCAGAGTGTGGTCACAAACGCAAATACTGGACTTCCAGGAGCTACTGGAAATTGGGCAGAGCAACAATGGCAGCTCAAAAATGAGCTTTATTTGCTCCACATAGGAAGATGGAAATGCTAGGATTCTTTGTGAGAAGTCAGAGCTGGTGGTTGGGACACAGAAAAGCAGAACTTCTAGGAAAGGCTTTCCTGGTTAGTATGGACTTGGATACACCAAGCTAAGTGTAAACGTAAATCCCCTAAGAGGGATAGTTAGGAGTCTTTGCATGCTTTGATTTGTGAAGAGGGCACAGAAATCTCAGCTCTGCGCTAGCCTTCAAAGAAGGCTTAATGGAAGGTGTCACACATTAAAAATGAATCTTAAATATTGACAAAGAAGTTTTGAGAGCCTCTCATCTCAGCAGGTTTGGATTTTGAATCAACTGAGTACTCACCAAAGATAAGATGCACTTTGAAATTTTGCAGCTTAATAAAAGCTTAAGACTAGAATTTTGGGGGAAAAAAGCGCAATTATTTTTCACAAGAAGTTAAACCTTATACTGACGAAGTGGTGAATGCAAGACAGGTCTCTTAAACAATAACAACAAGCCAGTGCGTGCAGCTCAGCTTTGCCTTTAACTTTAGCATCCCATGGAGATGCCGAAGCATCAGCACATGAGCAGGATCCTTCGTGTGCACGGGCTCTGCAGTAACTGTGTTGCCTCTACTGGTTTATTCCAGGGGTTGTGCCCCAGAGGAGCAGTTTCAAATTATGCTAAAAGAGTCGATGTGACAATTCCGCAGCTAAATGAAGAAGGGGATGTCATCGAAGTGAAAGGCCACAATTGGGGAAGTAAAACAAAGGTATGTTGGAGGTTGTTTGCCTTCCACAGATCTTGCATTTCAGTATTTGGGGACGAAGGAGGACATGGTGGTCTTGGAAAACAGGACAGTGAATTCGGAGTTGCTTTGCTCTTCTACCACTTCTACTTCTGGTTCGCACCATCGTGAGCAATTCATAAGGGCCGGTGCTTGCTCAGCACCTTCTTGCATGGGAGGAAGCCTGCATCCCTGACCTCCTGCCTTGTCCTAACGCATCCCCAAGTCGCAAGCGTAGCCATGAGGCCAGGGTACTGGCAAGGCTGGGCAGCATCACAAGGACACGGCCTGTTTCCCAAAGAATAAAAGGTGCAGCTACCAGGTCTGCCATTTTTGTCATGGAACGTGACATGGGAACAACCCTTGTTTCTGCAGTAACCTCAGCAACACCTTCTGTCTCTGTTGGTCTCATCACTACAGCTGGGACCAAGCTGATACGTTTAATACTATAGAATAATGCTGCATTCCTCCCTCCCTGAGTTACTTTTCCCTATTTTTCTTTCCATCAGCAGGAGGAAGACAATCTGCGGGCAGCCTATCATGATCTGAAAACTGACACGATCCAGCTGGAAGAGAGAAATGTCTTCTGTGGCTCCTACAATGTCCGTGTCCTCATGGACCAGTGAGTAGACTGCCCGGCTGCAGGGCCAAACAGCAGCTTCTGAAAACCTGCCGCATTCCCTGCGATCCTTCTGTGAGAACGTATGGCTGGAGAAGGGTGTCTCAGCATCAGCGTTAAGAAACCCTTGGTGTCAAATCCAGTTTTTTTATAAAGATCCAAGATAAGCTATTTTTAAAGACAGAAAGGTTAGCGATCCACAGTGTATCACAAGGGATATGGGTCTGGGAGGAGCCCTCTCCCCTCTTTAAGCTCACCCTCCAGGTCTGAACTTGGGCACGCAGAACTAGGGACCTTGGTTGTGGTGCCCTGCAAAGGATTCACCTGCTTAAGCACATTGCCCATCGGGTTGCTCAGTGGAGACCATTAAGCATCAGGGAAATGCTTGTCCCAGTCTTAGACCTGTTGTACCTTGTTAGCTGCCTAAAGCTCATCTCAATCCCTGTTTCTTATCCAGAGCAGACCAAAGCAGAATAATTCATTACAGTCGTGGAAACCTGGTAGCCATTGGCTCTGCAGACCGAAAAGTGAGGCTTTTTGATGTGTTGGGAATGAAAGAAGTGCCTCCTCTGCTCGCTGGCCATGCTGGGAGCATCAAAGCACTCTTCCTCAATGAGAAGAAAGGGTTCGTTCTCAGCGCAAGCTTCGATCTCAGCATCAGGTGAGCAGCGCTGGGACTGTGCCGTGGGATACCAGCCCCTTGGCAAATCTGGGAAAAGTGAAACTTTAATCCTTCCACTCCGATCTTTAGGAATTCTCCTCCCATCACTTTCACTAGAGTAATAAAGAAAGGACAGTAGATAAGGGAACACATCCCCCACTCACACAGGACATCTTCTGTTTCCCAGTTTCATCCAGTACTGAGTGATAAAATAGGAAGACACAGTGATGCACAAGTTTTCCTGAAGTATCTTAAAACACCAGATATGTTTCAAATAAGCACTTGCAGTGAGATTCTGGCCCTGCTAAAGTCAGCATCAAGTTCAGGGAGGCTGGGTTTCTCTGACATTTTAGGTGGCCTGTTGTGCTAAGCAGGCTCAACACCCTGGTACCCGCTGGATGGCTGCTCCTTTCCAGGTACCGCACCCCGAAACACGGGCTGGAGATGATCAGCTCTCACATTTATCAGTAAATCCCAAGAATATCATTCTAAGCGGTGAAAAGCTAAGCAGCAAGTTGTCTGGCTCTGGCGTGGCAATTGCACAACTTCATCGAAGGCAGTATTTAACGAAAGAGGAAAGACTTTACACTCATTCAGGCTCTGTCCTCCCTGCTCCAAAAGGGCTGTTTGTTTAAGCGCAGGCTTGAATTCTCTAAAAGTCAACAGAAATCATCTTGGCACTGGCCAGTAAAAAAACAACCTTATCTTGTAAAGCTCTACATTTTAAGGTTAATTGAAGGTAACCATGGAAAAGGGGAAATCTAGCCACATGTTTTCACGCAGTTTGGAGGTGGAAGAACAAAGTATATGGGTAAAAATTTAATACTAAGCCTGACTGGATTGTTCCAAATCCTCCGACACCCTAGTGGAATGACTCCTGATTTCAACCAAGTGTGTGTAGGACAAGAGCTGGCCCGGTTAAGTAGGAAATAATGAATAAATTGAATAAACAATCAGTTAAGTTAATCACTGTATTCCCTCTATTCCCTCTTTGGTTGGTCCTTCGTAGATGCTGGAATATATACAGTGGTGCTTGTGTGAGAATCTTTAATGGTCACTGTGGGACAATCACCTGCTTGGATTTATACGAAGAGCACTTTGTGTCAGGAGCCAGAGATGGGATGGTGAAAGGTGAGAGCCAGGACGAGCAGCTTCCCAAAGGCAAACAGTAGCAAACGATGGGCAGAGTCCAGGGGAGTTGTGGTGAGCGGGACACACACAGTGTGTGAGTACGAAAGTGAGTCTATAAATACAAAGGTGAATTTTAGCATCTCATACTTTTGCTTCCAGAACAGCCTAAGCTGTGGACACAAGCACACGCAAGGTCTCTGAGTGTGTCATTGAATAAATTATCATTATTTCTGCTTTTATTCAGTTTTAATGGCTTTGTGGCTCTAGGGCCGGACCGACCCTTGGGAAAGCAGTACCAACTTTCAGTTTGCCAGAGGTTTCCTTATTAGCTTACAGAATAAGGATGAAAAAGATGTGCTGTTTTCTGGACTTTGCATTTAAAACTTTTGCCATGCACTCATACCTCTTAAGTCAACACTTGGCTTCATGCAGAGCTGCAGGTACAAGGTGTAACTGTAATTCCAATAGTATTTTTAAAATCATATTGTACTCAGCAAACTTTCTCATTGGGGCATATGTATGTTTAATATTTCTCTCCTTTGGCCCTAACAGTGTGGAACCTGGAGAGTGGGAAATGTCTCAAGACTCTGAAGCACAACAGTGCTGTTTGGGTCGTTAAAATGGACGGCACTCGTGTTGTCAGTGGATGTGACCGAGGGCTGGTGAAAGTCTGGTGTGCTGATACAGGCACTCTGATCAAAGTAAGTTTCTTTTTACGTGGATAATTTTGTGCTAAATGGTCAAAAATCTTCTGTGCCAGTTTATCATAGTGTTTTGCTTTTGCCAAAGACTTTCTAAAAAAAAAAAATTCCCCTCCCAACCCAAAACCAGACGCAATCTAAACTGACAAAAGAAACCGCAGAATTATTCGTAAGCAAATAATATAAAAACTGATTTGCAAACAACTGTCAGTTTTAACTCTAGGTTTTATTTGCCTTGCTTAACCCCATCATGACGTGATCTCTGTAGATACATTCACCTCCGCTCCTGTAGATACATTCAGAACCTGGGAAGAGGGTGGGAGAGCTTGACTAACAGCTCTTGGGGTCGGAGGTATTATGGGTTAGCCCAAAATATGAAACTTGATCTCAGAATCAGTTTATAAAGCTGAAGCAGCTCGACAGCTGCTCTGCAATGTAAAGATTGAGGCCAGAGTCTGCTAATTACCTCAGCAGGGGTCCACAATTAGTATTAGTCCACATCTCTGAGAGGAGTGAAGCTCTTTCTACCTGCAGGGAAAAGAGTTGCAAACTGAGATGCACCTCAGATGCAAGACATCCCAGCTCCAGCTGAGCCAAGTCTGCAGTTTCCCCTCCACTACACCCAGGGCAGTCCGCTCTCTTCTCTCCTGGGTGAACGTTCAATGGATCACAAAGGTCTCAGTGCAGTAACATCTATTTAGCACATGTAATAGATGGAAACCAGATGTTACTTCCATGCTAGTAGCTCATTACCAGCAACATGCCCAGAATATTTCTTATAAGTGACTATAAAACTAACATAGTTATCCATCGGGTGTATTGGTATATTATAATAACACCGAATAAAACTACAATATAGTCTATAAGGCTGGTACTGGGAATGCCATAAGATATCTTGGCATATTGATGCCCAGATTGTTGACAGTGTTGCACCTATTTCTTTTACTTTGCAGACATTAGAGGGGCACCAAGGCCCAGTGAAATGTTTGTCCTTTGATCAGTGGCACCTAGTCACAGGAAGCACCGATGGATATGTCCTGGGATGGAGCATGTTGGGAAACTTTAAGAGATGCCTAACAGCTTTCCGTCACCCTAAGTAGGAATCAGAGTTTTAAGTTGTATTCGTCTAGTAAATCTGTAAAGAAAATGTCTCCCTTATAGAAACAGAAAATGTATTAATTATCAGTCCTAGTATTTGACATACCCTCACTTTCAACAATTTTAATCCTAAAACTGGTGTCAGGAACTACGTGGTCACAACCAGCGTTTGTCAGTTAAGACCTGTAACAATCTAAAATGCAAATATGCAACCGCTTGCTCACAAACAGGGATGATTTAAGACTGACAGTGCATACTCCAATATTTCAAGGATCTCAACCTGTATGCAACAGGGTATCGCACCACCTGGTCAAGAATAGACACTGTCTACATTGGAGGTGGCTGAGTCACACGCTGAACCCTACCGACTGTATGTTATGCCATTTTCTAATACTTTAATTGTATATTAGAACTGTGAAAACTGTAGCATCCTATTGTTTTCATTTACTTTCCTAGACATCAAAATGAAATGTAAACTGCAGCAGATGGCCATAACGATACTGGTTGCTACAAGGACGCACTGAGTAGGTTGGTTTGGACATGGAGTGATTATGAAGGACTTCACTGTCAGAGCTTTTAAATATCTTGATCAGCTCCTCTGTTCAGCCTGTTGATGGAGGTGAATGTACCGACCCTTCCGCGTTGTGTTTTCAGGAAAGTTCTGTCTCTGGAGTTCCTCTATCTCAGAGTTATCAGTGGCTGTGCTGACGGAAAGATTCGTGTATTTAACTACTTGACTGGAAGCTGCCTGAAAGTGTTGATGGCCAACAGCAGAGGGGACCCCGTATCTTCCTTCTATGTTGCAGGAAACAGGTTGGTGACAACAGCTGCCATCAGTCTCTGAACCGAATCAGGTAGATTACACTGTAATTTAAGGAATTGAGTATTTTTCCTTTTACTGCCCTTCTCACAAACAAGTTTTAAAGGGCTCTGCTTATTGACTGCTTTAATAAACTGGTTTTGTTAACAATGGCTGAAAAGAGATTTTTCTTAGTCCATTCAGCAATGTACAATTTCCTGTTCTTATGCAACTTCAGATACAGACTCAATTGTAAAGCTGAATTCAGATCCCAAATTTCTTAAGAGGCTGGAGAACCAAGCCAAGGCTTGACAAAGCCTTTGCTTGTTCCCTGACCTACGGCCTCTTTATAAAAGCCAACAATGGAAAACCCTTCCAGGTTCATTCACTTCTGAACTAAAGGTAGCTCCCAGCTTCTGTGTAAGCAATAGCTAAAACACTGGTATGTTACCAATGCTGTTTTGGTCACAACTGTAAAACGCAGCGATGTATGGGCTGCTATGAAGAAAACTAACTCCATCCCAACCAGACCCAGTACACCCCTCCAATTTAGGTTTAAATGTCCCTAACAATATGGTATCTCCAGTTTCTCTTGGCATTGTACTGATATAGCTCAGTCCACCGTTGGCAAGTTTCATCTTATTTTTAAACTAATTTTGTCATAGAGCTGAATGAAAAGAGCCCCATAGAGCTCCTACAGAGTATGAGTTAAAATGTACAGCATCTGATTGACGGGACTAATTGCTACTGCTTCCTTGAACAGGTGATGGTTACCTTGGATCTGTTTAAGCACCCTTGAGTTTTGTATTGCACAGCTGGGATTGGGCTCTGCTGTGTTAACGATATCTGTGCTTTTAACGGCTTTTCCTTCCCTTCTTCAGGATGGTGATCAATTCACCAACCAGTCTGTTGATGTTCCAGTTTGAGGATGTCAGGTGGGACTATACCTTAGATGCTGACAGAAAGATGGTGGGGAAGAAAAAACAGCGCAAGGGGACTTCAAGCAGAACACAGCTTCATCTTCGGCGAATGAAACGCCACGACCTCAGCCAGGTGCATCGACTTGCTCTGGAGACACAAGATGCTGACCAGCTCATGCGGTCTTGCTGGATCCGCTGCCAGTCACCGAAAAGCTGTGGAACATCTCAAAGTATTACATACAGCCTCTGCAATACACTGGCATTTTCTAAAATGAGTTAGAAATAATTTCAAGTATCCACTGTCTTCATCCTAATCAATATACAGACTCTCTGCTTTTTTTTTTTTTTAACAGTGCAGTCTGGTAGATGTGCTGTTGCATTTCGGTTCTGTCATTTTTAGGCTTTTGTAAAACCTTCGTACCTTTTTAGAAAGGTTTGGTATAAATTCAACACGTTTGTCAAGACAGGCACTGTCATTTTCCAACTGAGCAATAGAGAGATCAGTAGTAGTATTTGTATTCTTACAGCTGGTGTGCATGGAAACATGCTGCTGATTCAGTGCTTGAATTATTTATGAAAAAATACTCTAGAAAGTCATAGGACACCTGCATTCAGGATCTGCCATCACTGGGAAATGCAACTGCACACAAACAGGCACATTTTAATTGTAACTTAGTCATGTTATTTTTTAAAATCAGAGTTGTTTAATACAGTACGTATCACAAATCTTCCAGGTCGACAATCAGACTGTATATTGAAGATAAACTAATGAGCTAAGAAAGTTTTCATGATTTTAAGACTACCGGGTGCTAACCTCCTTGATGCAGCTCTACGTGGTAAAAGATGTACAGTTTGTACAAACAGGAAACAAACAGGCAGTGGACTTTATTTTCATTTTAGTGGGAAAAAAAGTATGGGTACTGTATACATAATATTTTTGTTTAAATCAACATTTGCTGTCTTTGACCTCTGTGAGGTTTTTGGCTAATTAAATATCTTTGGATTATTTCTAATACCTAGACTTTTTAGAAGCTGTGCTAAGAGGCAAAACAGTAACCAAAGACTTGAAATCCCATCAGTTATGAAGATTTTTATTTAATAAAAGAAGAAAGTGTAACACCAGTGAAGTGTAGAAATTACTTATTTTTCTGTTTTCTAGCTCTCTCCTATGAACTGATGAAATCAGCAGCTCACCAGCAACAGCAGCCTTCTCTCAATATCGAAAAGGCAGAGCGGCAGAAAAAGCTTTTCGTTCCTGGCACCAGACAACCCCATGCCTTTGCCTCGAGGAAGTCAGCGAGAGTACGTTCTGCAAGAATCCCGGCAGATACTGGTAAGGACTCTTGGCAGCTAGGTAGGACAGTAATTCTTCAAAGAAGTGCACCTAAGATAAACGAACGGATTAAACAAAAGGTAAGGATCTCCAGAAGCCAGGCCCATTCTGGATGGTTAAACAGATCACTTGCAAAGCCTGTGATGGCTACAGAAGCTGCTTTAGATCAATCAAACAGCGCAAGTGCTCTAGCTATGAGGCTTAGCTCTCTGGTATCTAGGTTTTTTTTATTGTATCCTTATTCTATTTTTGACTTCTTTATCAGGTGTAGGAGAATTCTGCACAAAATTTATTCAAGTAGTTGGTATTTAATCAATAGCAGTAACCCAGAAAATTGTTTAAAAAAGATTATACGTAAATTGTCTCAGCCAGGGAAGACGTGGCAACCTGAAACTTGAAAATGAGATAGTACTGAGAGCACAACCATAGCCTGTGGCCATATGGCATTTGTTTCCTTAAGTCAGTTTTTCTCAGATTTTATATTCAGAATCTGTTTGGATTGTAAAGTTTAAGAAATACTCTGACATCTTACTACAGAAGAGCCGTACCAATTGGAAGTCTCTAACTCAAAACTCCTAGTGTTTGTAACTAAGATGCAGGGTCATGTGCACGTGCAGATTAAACAGTTCTAAATTCTGTGAATGAGGAACAAGCAGTCATTTTCTTCAGTTTGTTTTGCTGTATTCTGCCTTTCTGCACTGTAACTTAATGTTGTCTGAAACACACTTCTAGAGGGCAGGAGTTTCAGTTAACCAGTCTGGAAAAACAGAATTGTATTGCAAAGCAATGACACGCGAATGGTGTGACATTGCAAAGCAAAGTGACAAATGAATTGCTACGGCAAGGTCATGGGACTGAGCGTCTTATGCAGTCAGTGTCATAATCCCCATCTAGTTCTTAGTCAAGGACATAATCACACAATCGCACATCTTGATGTGTCTGTCAGACAGCACGGGTCACTCTCTATATCCCTTGAGGCAGTGAAGCTAGGCTACAAAGCATGGCTTGCAATTTCCAATTTAAATGCAGCTCTGAGTAGTACTGGTTCAAAGTGGTTCTCAGATGTTGGCTACTTCAAAGATTTCTACCAGGAACTGACTTGTCTTGGAGCCTTTTCCCAAAGCACAAACTGTAGGACAAGAAAAGGTGTACATGGGAAGAGGTGGTAGGGAACCTCATTCCTTTTAGAAACCATCATTTCAAACAAGGTGGATGCCAAACCATCCACACACAAATACAACGTATGTTACAGAATCTGACTTTAGTTTGACCTGTACAGGGTATGACAAGGCACACTTCTCAGTTAACCAAGACAGAATTACCTCTGACGTTGGCAGTGTCACCAGTGAGGCCAAGGATGAGCAAGCTGAAATGGGCACTCCTGGCTTGTAGCTTCCTCCATTGCCTGTTCTGTCGATAAACTTGGGCTGTCCATGCGGCTGTTAAGCCAGCAGCCATCCCTGGTCTTACTCAGAGTAAGTACCTGCCAACAACGATCACAGAAACTATCCTCAACTGCAAATGTATTATTTTATTTTTGGAAACAGATGGCAAATCTGCACATGGCCCTTCTCTCTATGTACCTGCACAACCTGAGAGGGCAGAAGCCACTTCGCAGCATGAAAAGAGAAGAGGCCCAGGTTATCCCATGTCCCCTGACAAGTTCCTCTTAACGGTCAGCATGCTACAGAACACCTGCAAGTCAGAGCTGGTCAGCTCCGGTACTAAACACGCTGCAAAAGTTGGGGAAGCATGGCAACCTCCATGGGAATATCAGCAACACCGCTCTAAAAAAGTACAAATATACAAAACCCCTCTGCAACACAAAAAGGATCAGACAGTCCAGCTCCAATGTGTGAGATTGCACAATGATTCTCTGACTATGAAAAGAATTTCTATACCCTTTGAAACCAAAATGCTGCAGCTTAAGCTGAAAAATTCTTTGCACGGACCCACTGTGAATTCCTCCATCCCTTTTCCCTCTGTTGTACGTCCCAAGACCTGTTGTGGTTTGCTGCGAGAACAGAAAGCTGACAGTGGTCATGGTAAAGCTATTCCTCTCCCTGAAGATGGGGTTCAGCTTATCGATCCCTTTACGGCTTCTTCTGAACTGATCAAATCAACACATGCGATGATGGCACAAATGAAAAATGAAACCGTTTCCAGGAGAAAAAAGCCCTTTTGTCCGTATGCTGCAGACCCTTTCCGGAGCGACGGTGGGTTCAGGCTTCTGACAGGAAAACAGAAGGAGGTGTATGAGGCAGCGACGGTAGCTCAGTATCGGGCACAGCAGAGAAAGCTCACAGAAGATCAGCACAGAGCACGCAAGAAAGCCTGGTTAAGGAAAATTAAAGGCCTACCTATAGATTCTTTTACTGAGGAGGGGAAAATAGCTGCTCCTGAACTTGGGCTTAAGACATTTATCTGAGGCAATCCCTTAGTCCAACAACCAACCAGTAGCTGAGGATTCTGGGGTGCAGCCGAGTCTGCCGTGTCAAGATCCTTGTGGTTTCTAAGTATAAAAGACATCTCCACCGTAAGATTTTTTTTTTCTAAGATATTAGTGGTATATTCAGCTCTTTCTCAAGGCAGTGAATGGACTGAGAGCTCTCCTGGATTTATTTTGCTAGACCTGCTGTTACTACAGACACAGCACTGTTTCACACTAATATAGCTCAACATATGGTTCAACTGGGTGTGAAGAATAATATTAGAGTTTATGTGGCTTGATTAGAGTTTCTAAGCTTGATGAAGTGTGTACTGAAAACTGGCTGAGCCCAGAGGATGGCGATCAGTTGTACAAAGTCTAGCTGGAGGCCAGTAACTAGTGGTGTAGCCCATGGGTCAGTACAGGGTCTGATTTTCCTTAACATCTTCGTTAATTAATGATGTGGATGATGGGGCAGGGTGCACCCTCAGCAAGTCGGCAATGAGACCAGCCTGGGAGGAGCGGCTGAGGCACCAGAGGGTCGTGCTGCCGTCCAGAGGGACCTGGGCAGGCTGGAGAAAGTTCAGCCGATGACGTTCAGCAAGGGGAAGTGCCAAGTCCTGGCCCCGGGGAGAAACAGCACCAGGACATGCTGGGGCAACCCAACTGGAAAGCAGCTTAAAATTTAATCTGTATTAAATAAAAAAATAAAGGTAGTGGTTTCTATTTCTGTTTTTGTGGATAAAATGCCTAAATGTGCTTGATTTCCACTAACGCTCAGGACTTAAATTGGCTTGAGTTGGGAAGACAAAAACCTCTCTAGTTGTCCATCTTCAAGTATCTGGGCCAGTGCACCAGAAATCTCTTTGTTCTGTTATTCTCTTGTATTAGAGGTTTGAGGCAGGACGCTCCTGCCCATGGTCACGTCCAGGGTCCTTTCAGCAGCAGTTCTGGTTTGAGATGAAAATCTGTGAAACTCTCCATACAGGAGTGTGGTGATTAGTTCTGGCTTGTTTATTTTAACATCATCTTCAACTTCCAAATCCTGGGATTATGCCAGGCCTTGCTAACAGTGAAAAATAACAATAGTTGTCCCACCAAAGAATAATAATGAACTGGTAATAAAAAACTAAGTGTCCAGGTACAACTATGAGGAAGCCAGAAACTAATGAAGATGTGGGCGCTGGACTGTTGTAGCTCAGGTTTGCTGCCGAAAGGCCACACAGGCTGGGGAGGAGTGAGGACGGGAGGACGGCAACTGGCCTTATCGCATCCCCTCTGTGCCATGGTACAGGGATTATGGTTGTCTGAGGTGGCTTTGCCTGCCATTAGTTTTCAGACAGGAAGCAGCAAAGATTTCCCACTTAGCCACGGGATGGCACTTCCACACAAGAAATCAGGGGTAAACCCAGCACAGCTGCAGCCAGAGGCCCTTTGGCACAACCCTCCCTGGAAAAAAGCAGCTAACAGAGGAAGCCTGATGGAAAAACATCACGGAAAGGTTGATGCCTTTTTAGTTATGCTGAAGTGAGGAGTATTAGAGCGCAGTCTTCCTATTTGGAGCCAATATATCAGCATCTCTCTGCAGGTGTGGGCGCTCAGGCACTTGCAAGATGCTACAGCCAACAGAGGCGGTGTGAAATTACCTACAAAGGCAGAGCTGGACCAAGTCCTCCTGCGATCGGCTTTAGCTCGGCACAGGAGATGCACAGCTGGGAGTCAGAGATGCACTGGAAAGGAATTAACATACGGGAAGATGTCATACCCGGTACGTGAAGTCACTTCTGAAGGTAACTAAGATGAGGTTGTTTTACTGTCTTAACAATTCACCTCTGAATTAAACTGACCTTTCTGTGCACCGGGTCTTCGGTGAGAACCTGGGGGTGCTGTGGGCAGCACTGGTGTTGTGCAGGACGTGATGCACCCGCAAGCAGAAAGCAAGCCAGACAGAAGGGTGGCAAGATAGTTTTGTTAGGGTTTTGTTGTAACTAGGTGCCCTTAGTGGTGCAGTTGTCATCCACAAAGTGTAGATAATATCATCCTGACGTGACGATACCGTATCGATGTCACAGCAATTTTGCTGTATAGCTCGACAGGCGTTTCTGAACAAAATGTGCTTTTATCTGAGTGTTGGTTATAGGTAGAAGTGTCTGTATTTCACAGAGGAATGGTGCCTGACACTTCACACAGTGAACAGGAAAAGGGCAAGAGAGTATTAAAAAGAGGCAACACCAAAGATATAAAAAGTAAATTAAGTTTTTATATAGTATTGTATTTATCAGTAATGACTTTGGATTGCCTGTGAAATGGCATGCTGACTTAAGCGAGCATTACAAGTGTACTTGTTAACTAGGTTAACATGGATTTTCTTATATCGTCTTTAAATTGATGTGAAAACCAAACTGTATGCAGGCAGCATTGAAGCAAAAGGACGTTTTATTTGTTTGTGGCTGGATCACACACAAGATTAGAGTGTGCGTATCAGACTTAAGATAACGGTGATTCTAACAACTCTATATTTGCCCTTCTAAATTAAAACAAATAAAAAACTAAAGATGTATGAGAAAGACCATTAAACAGCCAGGTCTTTATACGCTGAACATTACGTCTTCTGACTTGCTGCATAATATGCTTATTTCTATGGTGCCTCTCTGCTGTGGTTTTTCAGGTGTTATATAGAAATAAAGTGTTAATTTGAACTCAGTACAGTTTTTGAGAAAGTCAGGAGAGGGAGGGCTGTGTCACTTACAGCATTAGCAGATACCAGAGCTCTTCATGAGTGAGCAGGGATATTAACTCCAGGGCACGGGCGAATTTGAGCCCTGGGGTTACAGTCTACATGTCTGGGGATTTTCCCTGTAGCCACAGATCCACGCCTTGATCTTCCTCCTGGATGGCTCTAACTGTGGGGTCCGGGGCCCCAGCTGTGTTTTGGGGACAGCGTACGCAAGAGCCTGATGTTTCACTGCCCCGAAAACAGGTACCTGTGGGTGGAAATGCCAAAAGGAGCTTTGTCTGACACCAATGCCCCAACAAGGTGAAAGCAGCAGAGCCCTGCTCCCCAGCTCAGAGTCTGTCCTGTCCCTGGCATTGAACAGCACCTTGGGGTCATCTGAGAGGAAATGCTGTCTGTGGAAATGCTGTATTGATCACAAAATAATACAGCATAAAGTGCTATTAATATTGCTTCTCTTTTGTCCTCAAAGCAAATGTTTAGCCATATGTTTTAAAAAGCAAAAAAAAAAAAAAAGGGAAAAAAAAAGCCTGAACAGGTGGCTGTTTCCTTCAGAGGGTTTTCAGTAGAATTTTTGGTTGACTTTTTTGGGGTTGTTTTACTTTTTGATAGTTTAACGCAAAGGTTAGGCAGTGGTGCTGCCTATCTTCAGGGGTCCCAATAAATTTGTCCTTCTCCAACGGTAACAACATTAACGGTGCTGCAGCTACACTGATGGTAATTTCTGTAATATCTCTTACGGCACACCACAACCAGGTTTTTGATTTTTGCAGAGAAACCACAGGGAAGATTGTCCAACGAGAATGCGTCATTGGTACCAGTGTTTCATATGCTTCCACATTACTGCATATTAAGAAGACTTCATTATTTCAGTAGAAGATGATATTGTTAACTAAAAACTAGGGACTATTGGGAGTGACGTGTGCTAGTGCTAAAGGAGTTCACATGGGCCCTCCTCGCTTGCTCTCCCCTCTCCCGCCATCGTGAAGCAGATGAGGTACCAGAACAGCTCAAAGTACTCCTGGGTCAGCCCAATGAGAGACTTCTGCGTCCTTAAAAAGATCTGGATTTCTACATCTTTGCTTTGATACCTGACTTGCTATAGAGGTCATAGTCTGTACGTCTGAAATCTCTTTTAAGGCATATAAATACACCAAAGGATGAGCTAGTCCCCAAAATAACTAAATCTGAGCTAAAAGTATAGTCCTTCAGGAATTTATCAGCTGCCCGATCCACACGGTACGCAGTTCTGGCTGGAACTGGCTATGGTAAGTGTGAATCAGAAAGGGAGAGATCCTTTTTGCTTCAAATAGGATCAAATCGTGATTTTTTAAATTAATAAACCAACATTGTGCCTCATTGCAAGGCAACCTCTCTGTTCCTTTGCACTTGCCAACACAGATGGAAGAACAACTGGAAGCAATAACCGTACATTTAACTCCACCATCTTTCTTTATAAATGAAGCGGGAATTTACTCATGTCTGCCCTAACAAATTTTTTCTAAATTGTTCACGTACAAAGAAACATTGGGCAGAGTGTTTCAGACGAGCTGTTTGTAGATGGTTTCCTTGGAGTGTGAGTGAGCTTGCAGCTGCTGACGGACCCTCAGGTTTTGGCCCTCGCGTACGCTCACACTGATGGCTGTAACAATTAATTTCAAAGTCAGGGCACTGTCAAGTTACTTTTTTTTTTTTTGTATCTGTGAGCTCTGTGACTTTTGGTAGATTTTGTAAAAATCAAAGCTTAAAGCTTCCCCTTTCTTTTCAGTACGGCTGCTCAGTCTTTCCTTATGCTCTAAAAATACTGATCTGGCGGTGTTACTCTATTTTGAGCTTTTCCTATTACATTTTCTAGACATTCATTTGTGTTAGGTTTTTTTTTTGATCTGTGCCTGGAGCAGAGATTTTTATCGAGCTACTGGGGAAGAGACGCAGAGAAGCAAGAGCTGGGTGCTGCGTACAGGCAGTCCTTGCAGAAGGTACCGGCTTGTTAACACTCTCACACCCTGCCCTGTCCGAGTGGAGAGGGTGACTAAAAACCCAACATCTGGCTTTGTAACCGTGCTTGCTCTTCAATGTATGTTTCTCAGGTACGTTATCAGGAAAGGCGAGGCTACAGAAAAGCCACTTTTCCTCTTAAAGCTCTCCCTCTAACTCCACGCCAGCTGGAGTTTGGGTATTTCACGTTCATACTTCAAGGAGCTGGCGGGGCTCATAAAGGCGCACCCGCGGGATCCCGGCTGGCTCCCGAGCGCTGCAGGCGCCT